GGAAAGGTTGGTCTAAATCAAACAGTTTGGTAATAAGGGAACCCAAAATCCCACTTCACCCCCACTTCTAAATAAATATACAGTTCAAAATTATTATTTTATGTAGTAGGTTTTTATGACAAAGTTACCCCAAATATTTAAAACTTTAGTAAATATTTGTGGTAACTTTGTCATAAAAATCTACTACATAAAATTATACCCCAAAATCTTACATTTGCTTTTGGATATACTGCAAGATTCCAACATGCTGAATATTGGGAGAAAATGGGAGGGATTGCTAATTAGGGGTTGCTAAAGGGGTTTAATTAGGGGTTGCTAAAAGGCTTTCAAATTCCTTCTACAATCATTTTCTAGAAAAGTGTTCCCATTTCTGTCCTTTGTAGATTCAACTGAATAAATCTGTAGAACATCAGCAAATTTAAAATGCCGTCAGAAACTGTTCTAATTAGAACTTGGGTTCTAATTCTCTGTCACTCACATGTAACCAATTTAACATATACTGCATTTATACCTACAGATCTTCGTACTTTTAAAATATGCAAGCCTTATTGAAAAGAGTTACATGCTGCCTCTCCAAAGACCTGCTTGAGGTAATTCACAAAGTTAAAATATAATAAAATCATAAAATACCACCCCCACAAGATTTACCAGTATTAAAACAGGCCATAAAAACAACATAACCTTCCCCTTTTTTACTCTCCAAACACCCTATCTTAGTTTTGTATTATTTTAGTCACTACATTTTATTGTTCTCTTGCTGGATAATGCTAATTTTGACCTATGGTATTGCCTTGGGGGTTTCTTTTTAAATTAAAAAAACTCTAGGCAAGGGAAGAGAATTTGCCCATACTGATTTTCATTGCACATTTGAACAAATAATGGGTGTGTTTTTTCCACCCCATGACACATTGCCAGTAGTTTAGGATGAATCACACAGCATTCTGCCTTTGTAGTGGACAGTTTTTAAGAACATAAGAACAGCCCTGCTGGATCAGACCAGTGGTTCATCTAATCTATTATCCTGTTTCACACAGTGAACGACCAGTTGCCTGAAGGTCAGACATGGTATAGAGGCCAAGACCCTTCCCTGATATTGTCTCCTAGCACTGGTGTTCAGAGGTTAGCTGCCAGGTTTTCTTCCAGGGCTCTCATTAAGTAGCAAGTTTCCAGTCAATGCTTATGTCCTTACATTTACTTTCCAGTTTGAAGATGTCCCATTGGCACTATGAAATGTAATAAACAGAATACTGAATGTAATGCAAGGAATACTCGAATGTTTTTAAAAGAAAAAAAATGCTGTTAAATTACCTCCTAACCTGAGAGGAAACGAATGGAGATTCTCAGTTTACTTCTCACAATTAGAAAAGTTACCTTTACACAGTTATCTCCTATTTTGACATATTTATTGTTTTACTGTTTCCCCCCTTAATTAAATCAAAACAACTGTTGACCTTATAATCTTAGCCTGTTATTTAGTTTTGTCCTTGCATATCTTAAAACATCATCATGTTACAAGTTAATTTGCTATTCAACCTCTGACTATAAGTTTGAGCTCTTACCTTCCATTCCAATGTATTTGAAACTCTTACCTTCCATTCCAATGTATTTGAAAAAGTGTGCATGCACACAAAAAACTCCTACCTTGAATAAATCTTTGTTATTTATTTATTTATTATTAGATTTATACCCCGCCCTCCCCCAGCGTGCTCAGGGCGGCTACCACTGGACTCTAAATTTGAGATAATTCCTCTGTAATTATTCTGTACAATGACAAATATAATTAATTGGAACAACAACACGGGAGCTATTTAGCTACTGCAGTGTATTTTGGACTGATCTGTATGTACTTTAGCACCAGTTCACATTAGCCTTACCAAAAATAGGACTGAGGGAAGAATTTACTGGAACAACACTGCTGTCACCATGGACACTGCACAAAGGAAACAGTTCTGGTGCACCAAAGCAAATCAACCGAAAGCTGTTGTTAGTACTGATCAATTCATCAGCTTAAAGTTAACAATGTACCACCATCATTTCCTATGTACAAAGATCTATCTGGGCTCAATGTCAATATCACCAGCATCTTCTGTTTTAAAAAGCAAACTTTCTATTTTGGGGGACCATATTTAAAATGCAACATGCTTTTCAACAGAACGCTTTAGGTATCTTGGCAGACCATGTGCGGGCCATGTTAGAAGATAACCGCAAATCTCTTTCATGCTTCCTTATAAGTTATGAGTCAGAGATTAATAGTCTTTTGTAACCTTCAGGCAATGGAAAGAAGGAAAAAGGCTGAAGACACAATGGTCTGCATTCTCACAACAATTAGCACAATCCGTTGCAAAGTCTCAGAATGCCAGTAGTAACTTTTGGATTTATTTTGTGATCATGCAGAGAGCCAATAACTGCAGAAATGTGGGGCCAGATCTCAGTGTGAAAATAACAGAGGGAGGGGGAGAGAGAGAGGAGGAGGAGGAGGAGAAGTTCAGTGATTTCCCCCTCCCAACACAGACCCCACTTTGGCCCTTGTCATTCCTAGGGGGCCACAGACTCTCAGGGAGAACAGAAGGCTACATCAGATAAGATTCATTCCAATCTATGAGAAGGAGGAGGAGGAGGAGGAGGAGGAGGAGGAGAAGAAGGAGAAGGAGAAGGAGAAGGAGAAGGAGAAGGAGAAGGAGAAGGAGAAGGAGAAGGAGAAGGAGAAGAAGAAGAAGAAGAAGAAGAAGAAGAAGAAGAAGAAGAAGAAGAAGAAGAAGAAGAAGAAGAAGAAGAAGAAGAAGAAGAAGAAGAAGAAGAAGAAGAAGAAGAAGAAGAAGAAGAAGAAGAAGAATCACCTTTGTTAATACTATGAACAGAAGACACGGGATTTGCTGGGCACTATACATTGCATTGGTCCTGCTGGGCTTCTACCCTCCCCCATACTTGGCCTGTGATTCTGTGTTTGACATCAGTTCTTTTGAGCTGGCATTGCTACAATGGCACTGGGTTCTGCTGGGCACCCTGTGATTGCAGTGGTACTACTGGGGACTCCATACATTGCACTGGTTCTGCTGGGCTTGCAAAAATGCCTCCCACACCTTCAGTTTCTACTGCAGAGATTCTCTGGTTTGAGTTTAGTCCTTTGGAAACAATGGAGGATGGGGGCACCTTCTTTGGGGGTTAGTGTGTTTCTTGACATCCAGTCTGGTGAAGCTTGCGATCACTATTTTGTGGTGCTTTGGCTAGTGTTAGCTAGTAAAAGTTAGTACAAAGGAAGACTCCTAGCTCTCAAAAATGCCTTGTAGTTGCTTGGGTTGTTCAGCTCTTGGGCTTCAAAATGGAGAACAGAAGCCCTTCCAAAGTGCCTGCCCAGAACACAAGTGGTGTGATGGAATTTTTAATTTTTTTGCCGTCAAGTTACAGCTGACTTATGGCAACCCTGTAGGGGTTTTCAAGGCAAGAGACATTTGGAGGCGGTTTGCCATTGCCTGCCTCAGCCCTGCTTAGCTTCTGAGATCTGATGAGATCAGGCTATTCCTGGGGCTTCTCAGGTCAGGGATAGGCTCAGAGTAATGTGGCTGGCCCCAAGGTCACCCAGCAAGATTACATGGCATGATTATATATGCGAAGTTAAGTAAAAGAAAAATTTCCCTGTCTGCATTTCTTTTCTGGCCATTATTATTATTTGTTTCATTTCATGATTACTACTGAAAATAATTTTGTGGTATAGAGGAGGTGCCCTGACCTGGATAGCCCCAGCCTAGCCTGATCTCATCAGATCTCAGAAGTTAAGGAGGAGGAGGAGATGAGATTGGATTTATACCCCGCCCTTCACTGCCCAAAGGTGTCTCAGAGCGTCTTACAAACTCCTTTCCCTTCCCCTCCCCACAACAGACACCCTGCGAGGTAGGTGGGGCTAAGCAGGGCCGATGTGGAGGGCAGGCAATGGCAAACTGCCTCCAACCATCTCTTGCCTTGAAAACCCTATGGGGGCACCATGTCAGTTGTAACTTGATGGCAAAAAAAGGAGGGGGTATTAAAAAATTATCCACCCCAGTCACCAAATAAGCTAGGTACACCACTGGAGAGAGGTGAAAAGCAAAATCATTTCCTTCAGAGACTGACAACCCATACTGGAAACAAGTAAAACAGAAAGTAGAAACCAGTTGCATTACTCAAGACAACAGGAAACCTGGCGACCTTTTGCCTTTGACCTTTTTTAGACAAGCACCCACAGAAAGCCAAAGGCTATTGCTGCGCAAGAAGGGAATTGCCCTCTGCTCATTCCTTTCTACACTCAGAAGACTTAATGAAGACTGAACACTTCCATTGTACTGTCTTCTGAGCATGTTGTTGTTCCAGCCTACACAAGCGTATCTGGGGGGGGGAACTCTACAGATTAACCTGCAGCCTTCTGTCTCAGCACCTGTTTGAGTCACAGTTGCTTGCTCCTTTTCAGAAAACAGGCTGCGGTCACACGGAGCATTAGCTACGCTACTGAGATGGATGATAGGCGGAGTTTCCGGGCACGATCACACCACAACATCTGGGAAGCGTAGAGCTCCCATGGCGAACCCAAGGCTTCCTGCCGAAGATGCGGAGTTAAAAACTAGTACCTCCGAGGTACTAATTTCGGGAAACCGTGGGGCAAGGGCTGGCGTCTGATCGCGTTTCCGGTGGTAGTCCGTGGCATCCAGCGCCCACCCATGTCCCATTGCAAACAGGGTTTTTTTTCCCCAAGTCTCCACAGGATGCACACAAGCACCCAACGGCGCATGCGCACGAAGAGGAAAGCGAAAGTTCCGTTGCTCCGCAGAATCGCGCATGCCATTGGTGAGATCGCGCCACGCGGCTTCTTTGCCTCACTGCAGGATCATCGTGTGATCACCACCTCGCCCCTACCCACGGGACCTCGACGGGACGTGTGATTGGGCGGCCGCGCGTTATTTTGCTCTGGGCCAACCTGCCACGCTTCCCCCCCGCATTTTATGGCCCATGTGACCGGGACCTTAGCTTACCTTTCCCATGCTGCCATGCTGTGTACCAAGACAAACTGAGGAAAGAGGTGATGAAAATTAATGCGGTGGCCACAGTTCCATTTCGGAGCCTCATCTCATTTCAGCATCACACTGGTTTATATTTGGCCAGCTATCAGGATTCAAGTTTCACCTGTTGGCTTGAAGCAAATATATTCCAACACTAATGCTGCTCAGGCAGGAGAAGAGAGGAAAGGTGCAATCTCATTTCCAAGTCACTGAAAAGACAGCTCTGCAGCTATATCACCGAAGACCGATACTCGCTCTTAGAAGCTTTTGTGGAAGTGACTCTTCATGATTTTTAATTCCCTGCACAAAGAAGAGAATACATCTCCGATTAAAAATGCATAGTATAGATCAATATCAGGTCAAAGTACAACACAAAAAGAGCGAAGAGACTGACAGAAAGAGCTAAGCACTCACTGCATGTGAAGCTGGCCTCCCATGAGGCAAATAATAAGCAATTCAGCTCGGTAAGATGCCGCGGGGGGGGGGGCAGTGGAGGCAGGAGCCTCCCTGCATTTTGGTCCTGATCTGCATCAGGCCCCTCTGGAACTTCTAAATGGAGTTGTCACCAGGAACTCGCAGCTGCAATGTGGCTGCATGTCCCTGTGGCAAACTCATGTAAAAGGTATTGTGAAGTTTGGCCCTGAGTGAACCACTCAGGTTCATATCTTCCTTCTGCCATGAAGTTTTGTTACTTTTTTATTCTGCAGAAGAAACTGATTACATTCAACATTAAATAGGCATGACAGATACAGATAAATTCCTCAGCGCTATAGAATTTTATCACATTGTTCATTCCATGCCAGTTAAAACCATATGCCACATAATGAATCAGTACCACCCATGTCCTCCCCCTTCTAGAGGGCAGTCAGCCACACAAGGGTATAATAATTTGACCCTGTCCACAAAATAAATTTCTTGATGGTATATTCTTTAGTTGGCTTGCGTCAACTTAATGATTTTAAATTGTTTTATTGTTGTTTTATCGCACTACGTGCCCATTGTTGTAAGCCGCCCTGAGCCCGCAATGCGGGGAGGGCGGGGTATAAATAAAATAAAATTAATTAATTAATTAATTAATTGCAGTTATTATCATATATAGTGAAATCACTCTAAATTTAATTGGGATGGCGGCAACTAAGTAAGAAAAATTCAGGTGCAAATTCAATAATATGTTCAATTCCCTTTGCTAACACTATGGTCACCATCGTCCAATATTCAACTGCTCTAATGCATTTCCACCAGATGTGGAGAAAGTCCACACCAGATTCACTATAGTACCAGCATTGATTGCTAACACTATTATACATTCTGGCCAAGCGTGCAGGCAAAAGATGCCACTGATGTATCATGTTAATGGCATTCTCCCTTAAGCTTAGGCTAACAGAGAAGGACAGACCAGTAGACAAACATGTACCTCACAGCTAAGTGGCTGGTTCCATTTTTTTGCATACCCTTAAGCAGAGTCCCAGGTAAGTAGGTACATTGTGTTACACATGACAGAGAAGATGTTTTAGAAAAAATAATTGTCTCAAAGGGGGTCAACTGTTAAGCTCTCCTTTCTGCAATCTTACTACAAGTGGACTCCTGACTTGCATGTACTGAAGGAATACCTCTGCTGATCCCTGCAACCAAAGAACTCTATTCAATTATCTTCTTGTTCCAGCTCTCTTCCATCCAGAGCAATCACTGTTACACTACCCTGCCCTGGAGGCTAGTTCTCTTAGCACAGAAGCAAGCCTAAAAACCCAGGAGGATAATTTACTACTAGTCTCAAGCATACAATTAATAAAACAATTATCTTGTTTATAGTGAGTTTCCTTCTTGGTTTTATTCAATGTAAACCAGCGCCTTATTGGAATCGCCACAAAATCTTGTTAGAGAGTGTTTAAGTCTGATTCTGTATCATTATACCATAAAGTTAGCCAATTCAATCACACTGCATGGTACTAAATTAAGATATTTGGTGCCACTAAGCTTCCTTGACTGCAGTTCTTTTGCACAGCCTGCTAAGCCATTCTTAGTCTCTTATTTTGCCAAATAAAACTGTAACATATTCTCTGCTATTCTAGTATTTTCTTCTCTGGTATGATTACAGGTATATTTTGCATGATAAATATTAGCTTCGGCAAAAGCATCATTTTGAATGCAGTAATCCTATCCAAGAGGGATAACTGCAAAGATTTCCACATAGCTAAAGTATCCCTAATTTTCCTCCATAGTAGATCATAGTTAAAGTTCTTTACACTGTGTTATATAAATGCCAAGATATTTAACCTGGGCCAACTTATATTTCCCTCTTGCCATAAAGTCTTACGAGCTTTACCTAGACATCCCAATACATTAGTCTGTTTAATCTATTGATAGCCTCTATTAATCGCAAGCGACAAAATCCAAAATTGGGAGAAAATCTGTCTGCTTCTTGCCTCTCTCCCACTACAGTTTTCCTGATACTGCTGTGTCTGTGGCCAGGCAACCAGAAGAACTGGCACTACTCAGCAGATACTACAACAAGAACAGCCCTTATGAATGACAATTAACAAAGCAGCTTTAAACCCTAGTTTGGTATGCTAATACCAAATGGTATGCTAATGAGCTACTGGGCTATTAGCATATGCCATGACACCTGACATCACCGGAAGTTATGTCAGAAGGGGGGGAGGCATTTTCAAAAGCCTCCCCTTCCCTTCCCCAGCTGGCCTGTGTGGGGGGGGGAGTGAAGAGAGATGGGGTTTAAAGTTTAAACCCCTTCTCACTAGTGTTGGGCAACAGAAGGAGGAAAGAGGGAAGGAAAGAGAGAGAGTAGAGAGAAGGAAATAAGGAAGGAAAGAGGGAAAGAAAGAGAAGGAAAGAAGGAAGAAAAGAAGGAAGGAAAGTGGATAAAAAGAGAGAAGGAAAGAGGGAAAGAAAGAGAAGGAAAGACGGAGGGAAAGAAAGAGAGAGAAGGGAAGAAGGAGGGAAAAAGGGAAGAGAAAGAGAGAAAGAAAGAAAAGGAGGGAAAGAAAAGGAAAGGAGGGAAAGATGGCAAAGAGATGGAGGGAGGGAGGGAGGGAGGGAGGCTCTCCCACCCCCCATCAAGCCCCCGCCACCCCCGATCCCTTACTTACCGCTTCAGCGTGGGCCTGGGGGACCCGACTGTGGGGCTCTCCGGGCTTCCCTCGGCCCCAGCGCTTCTGTGCGAGCCTGGGGGACCCGGCTGCGGGCTCTCCAGGCCTACCCCCGGCCCCAGCACTCTTGTGCGGGACCGGGGTACCCGGCAGCCGGGCTCTTTGGGCCTCCCCCCAGCCCTAGCACTTTGGCGCGGGCCCGGGGTACCCGGCAGCGGGGCTCTTCGGGCCTCCCCCTGGCCCCAGCACTTTGGCGTGGGGAGCTGGGGGCAGGGCTTGCCACGCCACCATTTGAGCTGGCTCCTGGGCTGCCAGAGTAGCGCTCCGGCACGCTCCGGCCCCAAAAGACCCCTGACCCTATGAATTCATGACCTCCAAAATGTCCTGTCATTAACAGCCTTGCTCAGGTCTTGCAAACTGTGGGCCGTGGCTTCCTTGATTGAGTTAATCCATCTCGGTCTTCCTGGTGCCTTCAATCTTTGCCAACATTATTGTCTTTTCCAATGACTGTTGTCTTCTCATAATGTGGCCAAATATAGCTTCAGTTTAGTCGTTTTAGCTTCTAGGGAGAGATCAGGCTTGATTTGATCAAGAACCCACTTATTTGATTTGATCTAGAACCCCCTTATTTGTCTTTTGTGCTGTCCACGGTATATCAGTAAAACTCTCCTCCAACACCACATTTCAAATGAATTAATTTTCTTCCTGTCCGCTTTCTCCATTATCCAACTTTCACACCAATCCATAGTAATGGGAAATAGTACGACATGGATTAACCTGATCTTGGTCGCCAGCAACACATCCTTACACTTAAGAATCTTTTCTAGCTCTTTCATGGCTGCCCTTCCCACTCTCAATCTCATTCTGACTTCTTGGTTGCAGCCTCCCTTTTGTTGATGATTACCAATGTTTTAACTAGCAGTTACTTGGAATTGATGCTCATTATGTAAAAATATTAATGCAGAAGTCCCATCACATAACAAGTTTTCCACTTTCAAAATTAAAAAGTAAGAGTCCTGCCCTTCATAGGTTGACTAAGAAAAGTTATGGGTGGAGGAGCGAAATCTGACTCAGAAAAAAAACAACACTACAGTTGAGTGGAACTATCTGGAAAATGACTAATACAGTCAATGGCTAGCAAGAAATGATTAATTGCGGTGAAGGGACTCTTGAGAGAGGAAAGGGAAGGTGTTGGCCAGAAATAAAAATGTATATGGGACTTGAAACTATTGCAAAAAAATTTTAAAGAGGAAATTTAGAGATCAGATTCATCTAAATAACAAGCCTAAAGGAAACAGAATATACATATACTAACATGTTCATTCGGACAATTATAATTCTGTATTAAGCATTGTGAACAAGGTATCTGCTGATCAAAGACTACACAATTCCACTAGTACAAAGAAAGTCACCTTTCACACTAGATTTTAAGTGTAACTGGTTTCCACTAGCGCAGACAATTGTAATTAAAATTATTAATACAAACAGGTACATGATTTTCCTAAATTTGCTCGATTCATTTCAATATGGCTTCAGGACAGGCTACAGGACCAAGACAATGTAGGTAGCTCTGGTGAATTATCTCAAACTACAGAAAGACAGAAGGAACACTTCTCTGTTGATCCTTCCTGATTTATCAACTCCACCCAAAATAGGAGGTCATGTCATTTTGCTTAGTCTTCTTGAACATCAGATTGTAATGGGGGGATGGTACGACATTGGCTTTGACCTTTTTTAAATGATAAAGATTACAGAGTGGTGGCTCAAGTGGTTAAGACGCTGAACTGCAGGCTGTGGAAGGTCGGTAGTTCAGCAGTTTGAGACCCGAGTGTGCCACATGACAGAGTGAGCTCCCGTCTCTAGTTCCAGCTCCTGCCAACCTAGCAGTTCGAAAGCATGAAATTGCAAGTAGATAAATAGGTACCACTTCAGTGGGAAGGTAACAGCGTTCCGTGCGCCTTGGTGTTTAGTCATGCAGGCCACATGACCATGGAAACATCTTCGGACAGCGCTGGCTCTTCGGCTTTGAAACC